TGCCGTGTCCCCCCAGGCGCGCCACGTGGAGGGTGGCACCGCCGGCCTCGTCCCCAGCCAGCTCCTGGAGGAGAAGCGCAAAGCCTTCGTCAAGCGGGACCCCGAGGTGGCCCCCACCGCCGGTATGGCCCCCCCACAATGTCCCCGTGTCCCGTGGCCGTGTCCCTGTGTCCCCGCGGCTCAGCCCCCCCGCCCTCGCAGGCGCCCTGTGCGGCAGCCTGGGCGGCAAGAGGAAGAAGAGGATGATGTACGTGACGACGAAGAACGCTGGTGAGGCGGCCGCGCCGCGGGGCCGGGGGGACCGYGGGGACACAGGCGGGTGACACGGGCGGCCCGGCAGAGTTCGACCGCCACGAGCTGCTCATCTACGAGGAGGTGGCGCGGATGCCGCCGTTCCGGCGGAAAACGCTGGTGCTCATCGGGGCGCAGGGCGTGGGGCGCCGCAGCCTCAAGAACAAGCTGCTGCTCTCGGACCAGGCGCGCTACGGCACCACCGTGCCCCGTGAGTGGCCCAGGGACCCCGCGCTGTCCCCACGGCCCTGCCTGTACCCCCATGTCCCACCCCCGTGGCCCTGTATCCCCCTGCGTGTCCCTGCGGTGTCCCTAAGGGTCCCCTGTATCCCCCTGCGTGTCCCCGCAGTGTCCCTAAGGGTCCCCGTGGTGTTCCCACGATGTCCCTGTATTCCTGCATGTCCCTATGTCCTGTATCCCTACGTGTTCCTGCATCCCTGTGTGTCCCCATATCCCTACATGCCTGTCCCTGTGCCCTCTGCATGTCCCCACGTGTCCCCATGGTGCCCACATCGTGTTCCCCTGTCCCTGCATGTACCCACACCCCTGCGCATGGCCGTGTCCCCCCATGTCTTTGCCTGTCCCCGTGCCCCCTGCACATCCCCACATGTCCCCAARGTGTCCCCATGTCCCCACACGTGCCCATATCCCTGTGYGTCCCCCCCATGCCCTTGCCCATCCCCGTGCCCTCTGCACGTCCCCACATGTACCCAAAGTGTCTCCATGTCCCCACACATGCCCACATCCCCGTGCATCCCCCCATGCCCTTGCCCGTCCCAGTGCCCCGTGCCTGTCCCCACGTGTCCCCAAGGTGTCCCATGTCCCCATGTGTGCCCATATCCCTGTGCACCTACTGTGTCCTTGCCCGTCCCAGTGCCCCGTACCCATCCCCACATGTCCCCAAAGTGTCCCCATGTCCCCACATGTGCCCACATCCCTGTGCACCCCCCCCCATACCCTTGCCCGTCCTGGTGTCCCCTGCCTGTCCCCATATATCCCCAAAGTGTCTCCATGTCCCCACACGTGCCCATATCCCCGTGCGTCCCCCCATGCCCTTGCCCGTCCCGGTGCCCCATGCCCGTCCCCACGTGTCCCCGCATGTCCCCGCCGGCGCAGACACGTCGCGCAAGCCCAAGGGCAGCGAGCGGGACGGCCAGGGCTACCGCTTCGTGTCGCGGGCCGAGATGGAGGCCGACATCCGCGCCGGGCGCTACCTGGAGCACGGCGAGTACGAGGGCAACCTCTACGGCACCCGCATCGACTCCATCCGCGCCGTGGTGGCCGCCGGCAAGATGTGCGTCCTCGACGTCAACCCCCAGGTAGGGCCGGCGGGCACGGGCGCCGCGGGCACCCGGGCGGCCGCGCGGGCTCAGGCGGCCGCCCCGCAGGCGGTGAAGGTGCTGAGGACGGCCGAGTTCGTGCCCTACGTGGTGTTCATCGAGGCGCCCGACTACGAGACGCTGCGGGCCATGAACCGGGCGGCGCTGGCCAGCGGCGTGGCCACCAAGCAGCTCACGGTGAGCGGGCGGCGCGGGGAGCGCCACCGTGTCCGCAGTGGTCACCGTGTCCCCAATGAGCGCCACATCCCCAAGGAGCGGCATGTCCCCTCCTGAGCACCATGTCCCCAATGAGCGCCATGTCCCCAATGATCACTGTGTCCCCAGTGATCACC